GAGTCGACCTAGGGGAAGCCCGGGACCGGTTCAGATAATCGTCACTAGTGTTGGCCGTGAGCGGGAATTGAACCCGTGAGCGGGAATTGAACCCAGGTTCGCACGCAAAACTGCTCTGCACGCACGTACGCACGCACACATGTGCACGCGCACGTATGTACGCACGTGCGAAGCGCCCATTTCTGGCGGCCATAGCGGCGCTCTTTATCGCCCCTTCCCTCCTGGCATTTCCACTGCGACCCTATTCTGTCACATTGCATTTTAAGGGGTTGTGTTTTTTTTGCTTTGCTACGATTTAAGAGGGGGCGGGTGTGGGGGGGGAAATAAATAAACAATTGTTGTTTCTCCTTGCCCTGTTTGCTTTATGAGCCCATGCTGTTTGTAGCCATTTCCTACGGCGAAATTTCGGGCTGTGCCATGAAGCACGGGAGGGAGCTCCGTCTCCGTGTATATATATAGCGCTTAACTCTCGCCTGGCTTCACAGTCCGCACTCTGATGCATACGGTTGCAACCGGGGCTTAATTTCCTCATGGAATATTTTTCATTTGCCGTCTAATTATCAAATTTAGAGACGGTGACGCCGGCGACGCAATGGCCTGCCCTTGCCGGCGATGTCAGGGGGGATCTCTAGCGTCCGCTGTGAAGCATGTGTAGCGTGCAATATCATCGTGTAGTATCGCCGTGTAGTAACGTCGCGGTTATGACGCACCGCCCAAGTATATAAATCGGGGTGGGGGGGGGGGGGGTGCGGCCGCCGGATTGGAGCCGTTGAAGCCTGCGTGGCGACAAGCGTGGAGCGGCGCCACCGCTGGGCCCCGTCAACCGGCCTGCGGTCACGCCGTGCTCGCATGGCCCAGTCCCACACGCAGGTGTGGCCGTGGGCTCGTTCCACGTGGCATTTCCCTGAAGCGTTCGCACGCTGCCACAGGGTGGCCGGTGAAGGCCCCGTCACTTCGGTCGCGAGAGGCAACAACCGCCGTGTACAGGCGCCAGAGCGCGTGCCCGCTGGGGGGGGGGGGGGGGGGGGGGGGTGCAGCGTGGAGATCTCTAGGCGGTCAGGGGGCGGCAGCACGGCAAAAGTGGGTTTGTGAATCCACCTGTGCCCACTTGGGAGGGTTGTGTGTGTCTGGTTATTTGGGTTTCATGCCAACTCCCAAACATCCCAATCCTGGACCGGCCTTGGAGATAAGTAAATACATAGATACACATTTCTCGAGTTAAATAATTGCATCATTAGTGTTTGCCTGCAGCCAATTTGTACAAAACTCTATAACCATGCACGTGTAGCTATCCATTGCCCGCTCTTCCTTGCTACAGACAAATGGGATGTCTATTTCTGCTTTGCAGCATCGTTATAATTTCACAACTCCTGACTGTGGCAAGTCCTTCAAAGGCACATCTCCTAAGATAGCGAAGCGATACCCATCAGCCGAAGCAAGCAGACACAAGATGCTCATAACAGTCTGAGGGACAGCAAGCAGCTATTCTCCGTGGGTCAGTCGATGATGTAACACATACGTACAGCAAGCCAGGCGTCCGCAAACACCTCACCAGCGATAGCCAGATCCTGGTGGCGCATCTCTAAGTAGCAACATCCACCGAGATGCTACAATCTCTCGGAGGACATCTCTCGAGGTGGCTGCAGAGACAGCGAGCGATGATCCTTGGCACCGGCTGCTGTTCCCCCCGCAGCCTTCGGAGTTGTGCACCGACCTCGGTATCGTTCGGCACATCTGGAAGTGGGGGGAGGGGTGTTGGGGGAGGGGAGCATGTGGAGGGGAGGGGCATCACCCCGGTCCTTGTTTAACCGACGAAGAGTCCTCTGTGGACTAATTAATTGTGGCCACGGCACATCCGTCGAAGTAATTGGGGGGTGTCTCATTATCATTCCGTGCGGTCCACGTGGCTCGTGCCAGCGGAAAGGTTGCCCGTGATGAATGCTGGAGGTGTTTGACCTGGCAGGGTTGCGCGCGGTGCATTGTGAGTGTTCGTCAGCTTCATGTGAGTGTTCGTCAGGTTCGTGTGAGTGTTCGTCAGCTTTGTGGAAGGGAATGGGGGGGGTCAGGCTTCGTGCTGCTGATATCTATCAGGGCCCCGGTTCAGATGCTGTGCGAGGTTATTGCCATGATGCTTGAGGCTTTGCGGCGCAAACAACCAGTGTTGATACGCCTGAATGATTGTTAAATATATAGGTGTTAGCAACCAAACTATTCTTTTCAATCCTTTGTTGATGAAATAATTTTAATTGGTTGTGGCTTTTTTCAATTGAATTTCTACAATTTTAATTAACTGCTGCTATTTCTAAAGTGCTCGACATCTACAGATTAAAGTAAAAGCAGCACATAACTTAATTTTTAATTTCTATAAAAACAAACTCGCTGTGGTCAACTCTGCGGTGAAGAGTGGACAGCGTAGAACCCAACGGTCGCTCGGCCAGCCCTGGTGACGGCCCTCTGTTAGCGGTTTGTTCCCAAGGTCGCTTCGCTCGTGTCCCCGATAGCACGACCGTGGGAACCTCGTGATGGAGCGGCGATGAGCGAGGGCGATCGGACGTGAGCGGCCCACGTACCTCGGGGAGGGGCAGGGAGAGGCGGGGGAGGGAGGGCAGAAGGCGGGAGGCCACCGCCGAAGATCGCGCGTGTAGCGTCGCGCACAGCCGAGCGGTGTCACGTGCGCCACCAGGTGACGTCCGATCGGCAGGGTTGAGGCTGCTTCGGACTTGGACGGGCATCTGTCCTGGGTATGCCGGGTGTTGTAGGCTGACGCTGTGAGGTTTGAGTGGTCCTTTTTGTTACTTATCTACCCAGTTGCTGAACACAGGTCTGCGGTGATCCGTGAGCAGCACCTGGCTGAACACGGGGGCTCGGTGCCGCCGTGGACGACTGAGCTCACCGCTCGCTCGTGTTCTGTTCCCGAGCGATTATCGACGCTCGACCGCAGGGCGAGGCGAGCCGGAACGTCCGGCTGGAGATGGGTCACGGTCCTCAACAGGCCCAGACGGGCGGTTTTGAATAGGGTCCTCTATGCTGGAGTGAATCCGAATCAAAATATGTATTTATGTTGGAGGAATCCAATGAGCTATAAAGATTTTTTTGTTACAGGTCTCCAGTAGGGGCGGCTAAGAACGTTACAACAACAAACACATTACAATAACACGACAGCGGTGCAAAGTACAGGAAAGGCAAACAAAGAAAGACCAGCGAGGGATGTCAGAGCCCTTGCTCGCACACAGACACAACGAAACACAAGCGAGCAGTGGGAGCGTCTTGATTCCCGTGCCAATTCGATGGACGGTCGCAGAGCGATTTGTGATGGATGCCATGGTGATAATGGTCAAAGGCAAGCTTTTCATGGCCACCGTGTGATTGATGACGCGTGCGTGCGTGCGCCTGCGTGCGTGCGTGCGCCTGCGTGTGCGGTCGTGCACGCTTCTGTACCGCTGTACTTGCGCGCGCGTGTGTGTGTGTGTGCAGGGCATGTGTAATTATTAATTAACGGTGGTTAGCACCCTGACACGAACCTGACGAACCGAGTTCGTTTCCTGCTCACAGCCAACATTGGTCACGATTATCTGAACTGGTTCTGGGCCTCCCCTAGGTATACTCAGCCTTAATTGAGTACCTGGTACGGTGTGTAAACATCATCTTTGGGGACACAAAGGCTCCCTGGTGTGGTGCTGCCCACTGAGCCCTTTGTGTCCCGTGGCAGAATTAATAGGTACTCCCTAACAGCACCGCCGGTCTATTGAAGCCGAAATGGCGATCTTTGCCTTGGTTATTTAATGGCATATGTCGTGTGTGGAGAGCGGTGGCGCAGCGGTTAGCACGTTGCACCATGAAAGCCGGCGATCCAATTTTGATTCCCAGCCACGGCTAACGTCAGTTGCACGTGATAGCTGAACCTGTCCTGTGCTTCCCCTGGGAGACAATTCTGTGTTAGCAACGGAGAGACAAAGACGGCCGGAGGTGGTGTTTGCCAGACCACCTTCCCTTTGGGTGCCATTTCTAATTCCGTAGGTGCTCGCTTGACAGCGTTTGCCCCAACAGTCTGCTTGGACTATACCAGCGGGCCTTTGTCTTTTTTACGTGTGCATACGAGTGAACGCGTGAATGTGTGGCCCGCATTGGGTTCATTACAGTGGGTGCCTTCCGTCATCCTCCACCCACTCGCGTCACTCAGGCCACCTTCAATTGGCACCGGCTGTCACCTCCGAGTCCCACGCTTCACAGGGAATATAAACCCCTTAATACCTGTGGATTTCAGGTAATGTGGATTTTTTTAATACCACTTAAATTTTGTCTCGGATATGAAATGCATGAAGATAACGCCCTGAGGCACCGTGCACGTGAGCGTGAGGATTATCTGAACCGGTCGTGGGCCTCCCCTTGTTCGGCTCAGCCTCAAATGAGTACCTGGTGCGGTGCGTCAAACATCAGCACTGGGGAGACAAAAGTTCTGACTGTTCATTGTTTACACAGCTAAAAGTAGCGTGCGCTTTCCCACTGAATTTGGCACAGCTGCTGATTGCGAGAGAGCCATCGCAGCACTGAGATTGTTCACACTTTTCCTGTAATCTGCGCCATTTGGTGCCAGGTAGATGCTGGCTTAAACGTCTGGCCGCCACGCGGCACGGCGCTCCGTGCGTTGTCCTGGGCGTGACGTTAAACTGCATCCGGTGATGGTGTCACCAGAAATCACTTCAGCCACCACGACCCCCAACCCTAAATTCGCCGGGGCTTCTCAGAACGCTTTATTTCCCATCTCATCCCAACCGTGTGAAAGGGGCACCCCCAGTGGCAGCTGGCTCTGTGTGGTCACTCAGAAACTGCCTCACGACCAGGTATTGTCTGCCAGTAGGGGGGGGGGGCGATGACTCCAATCTCCCACTGTCTGCCTTGTGTCTCTTTCTGATGTCTCCACCATCTCCGTTATGTCTCATGATATCTGTTATGTTTCCCTTACATACCCCCCTGCCCCCGTCGTCGTGGCTGTGACGCAGGTGTGACAATGAAGCTCATGGACGAGGTGGCCGGCATCGTCGCGGCGCGTCACTGCCAGACCAACATCGTCACGGCATCCGTGGACGCCATCAACTTCCACCGCAAGCTGCGACTCGGTGAGACCCGGCACGGCGTCGCACCGGCTTCCCTGCCTCTCGCTCTGCTGTTGGGATGCACAATTAACAAAAACTACATTTCTACATCGGTGTCCTCAGTGTTATCTGAGAACCGAGCCGACCGTCATTCCGTGCGGCTGTCTGCTGAGCGCAACGTGCCAGCCCCCGACTTCCTTTGGCTTCCTCGCGCGATTACGGTCGTGACGCTTTCCCTTTGCCTCTGTGTTCCTCCCTCCCAAAGCAATATCCTTGCTCTCCCTCCCCCACCCAGCCTCTTGTGTAGAGGATAGAAAGAAAATCCTCCCCAGACTTGACCGTGTAATTAAATGGCCCCCACCTGAAGACGGCAATACCCATGGAGAAAATACGTATAACCTCCCCCTTCCCGGCGGCAAGCCGCTTATGCGATCGATGCGATGAACGGCAGTGCTAAATTCAAACTCGGTTCCGTGAAGGCCGAACGGCCAGACGGGAAGAAATATTTTCCAATTTCTTCCACGGTAAAAGTCCGTTGTCTGGGCAGGTTTATGAGTCCCTGTATCCTGATTTATGAGAAGCTCAGCTGCCTTCTTTTAGTTTGTTATGCAACAAAATGTAGACTGCAGAGCAGAATGAGATGGATTTTTTTGTGAGCGTCCATGGGGGGAGAGGTGGTAACGCTGCGGTTCGCACGCTGTGGCGTGTGTTATATTCGCACTCTACCGTGGGCCTCGCCGGGGTCGACTCGGCCATAAATTATTATCACTTAGTGTGATGTGTGAATAAAAGCACTCGGAAAATAAAGGTGGCCGGGCGGGGTTCCAGCCGTGTCGGCCTTGCTGGCTAAGAGAACTTGCCCCAACAAGTCCACTCGACGAAACGGGGAATATATGTGTCTTCGCCTAATCGGTGCTCACGACCAGCCCTCGCCCACCTATTTGCTTCACCATTTGATTGTTTGTGAGCAGCGTCGTCATTTCAGATGCGAATCTTAGGGTTAGGCCTCGCCTGGGTGGAACTCCACGTGAAATCAGCACCTGGTGCCAAGGTGTGCGTAACTCCTGATGGCAACACCCACCACCACCTCGCGGCCCGATCTCGTCCTCAACAGGCGCTCGCTCACACCTCTTGCCGCTCCCCTCCCCCCCCCCCAACGACTCGCCGCCGCACGTGCATCCACACGACGAGCGCGGTAGGAGGCCGTCGCCTCGTTGTTTGTCGCTGCGTCGTCGTCGTCTCTCGGACGACTCGACCCAGTGGGGGGGGGGGGGGGGGGTCCCGCCACCTCCTTCTCCGTCCGGTCCCCGCCACCGCCACTTCCACGTCGTGCCCACCGGTTCCCCCGCTCGTGCCTCCTGAGCCCCGTTCAACCTCCACCCGCCAAGCCGTCGAGTCGGCGATGATAGCGGCCGTGGCGGCACCCGTTGCCGTTTGTCTACTTAATTGGCCGTTCGTGCCACCCGAGAGAGAGGAGCGAGCCTGGTTGTTGGAAAAAGCAATTTGTAATGGCTGCCGCGCGACCGTGTGTGTGTGATTTGCTGCGCGAACGTGTGTGTGTAACTTGCCGTGTGTGTGACTTGCCGTGTGTGTGTGTGTGACTTGCCGTGTGTGTGTGTGTGACTTGCCATGTGTGTGTGTGTGACTTGCCGTGTGTGTGTGACTTTACGTGTGTGTGATTGTGTGTGTGTGTGACTTGCCGTGTGTGTGTGACTATGTGTGAGACTTGTGTGTGTGTGAGACTTGTGTGTGTGAGACTGTGTGTGTCTGTGTGTGTGTGTGTGTGACTTGCCGTGTGTGTGTGACTTTCTGTGTGTGTGTGTGACTTGCCGTCTGTGTGTGTCACTTGCCGTGAGTAGGAGGCCCCACGCCGCTATTTGTTGAATAATGCACACGTTGCCCTCAACTCATAAATACAAATGTGTGGCGGCTGCTACTGCAGCGGCGTCTGTAAACGCGGCCCTCTTTGCATCCAAATTGAAAGGCGCTATGTTTAGCGACGGATATCATTATTGCCCGAGAGCACGTCCGCCGAGGAGACGGAGCGATGGGTCTCCCCATCGTGTCCCTAGAGCGGCAAGGGGGGTGGAGTGAAAGTGAGCAGAGTTATCACAGCAGCGGCCCTCAACACTCAGTGGGTTCCAGTGTTGTTTTCCAGTTTTTCGCTTGGCAAATCATCGCGGTCTGATGCATATGGACAGCTTGTGCAACACAGACTGACGTTAGATGAAGATTCCTTCGTGATAAAGATTGCCAAGCAGGCGGTCAGGGCAGGTACTGTGCACTATGGGAGCACCCTAATGGAATGAAAATCAGCGTAGTGCACGAGTGAGTGGTTTGGCCAGAGCTTCACCTTTTTCTCCCCAGTGATGATGTTTTACACACCGCACCAGGTACAGTACTCGTTTAAGGATGAGTCGGGGAGCCGCAGAAGCCCTTCAGATATTCGTCTCCAATGTGGGCCATGAGCGGGAATTGAACTCGGGTCACCGGGTTCGTTGTGCAGTGAGCTAGACACTCCACTGCTGCACTCAAGCGTGTCCACACTCCTACAAAGACAAAGATCTCCCGTGTAACCTTTAACAGACTGTTTGGGAAACTGCTGTTAGCGAGTAGCACCTGCAGTCTGGAATGGCACACAAAAGGGGTGGATTACCAGCACCACGCCCGACCGCCTTTGTTTCTCCAGTAGTGATGCTTACGCACCGCACCGGGCACTCTTTTTTAGGCTGAATCGACCTAGTAGGAGGGCCTGGACCAGTTCACTGGTGTTGGCCGTGAGCAGGAATCGAACCCGGATAACCGGATTCGTAGAGCAGCGCGCTGTTCGCTGCGCGACTGCTCCCCACACACTCGCGCAACACACTCATGCACACAAAGATAAGACAAAGATCCCCCGTATAGCCTTAACAGACTGTAGGGGCAAGTGCTGTTAGCGAGCACCTATGAAGGCCGGAACGGTACACGAAGGGGTGGGTGGCCAGCACCACGCCCGACCGCCTTTGTCTCCCCAGTGGCGATGTTTACACACCGCACCAGGTACTCATTTAAGGCTGAGTCGACCTAGGGGAGGCCCAGGACCGGTTCAGATAATCGTCACTGGTGTTGGCCGTGAGCGGGAATCGAACCCGGGTCGCCAGGTTCATAGCGCAGCGCGCTAACCGCTACACTATCGCACACACACACTCACGCACACACACACACTCACGCACACACACACTCACGCACATACACACTCGCGCACACACTCACGCACACACACACACTCACACACACACTCACGCACACACTCACGCACACACACACTCACACACACACTTGCACACACTCACGCACACACACACTCACTCACACACACTCGCACACACACTCACGCACACACACACTCACACACACACTCACACACACACTCACACACACACTCGCACACTCACGCACACACACTCACTCGGCGGTTTTGGAATTCCAGCTGGGATTAAAGCAACCTCGGGAGCCCCCCCCCCCCCGCTTCAGCAGGGATTAAACGATCTGGATTGAAGCCCCAGTGTGTTCACTTCTAGGTTAAGCAGGAGGGGGATGTTTGCATCACCCACACTGACATCCGGATTAATGGCAGCGCATAAGGCCTTGAAGATAATGGTGAGCGCATTGAAGACCAGGTGCTTCTATTTGTGTGTGTGTACACCGCGTGGATAAAACATCAAGAAGCTAAGCATTTGTATGCGGTGTTGCACGTTTGGCTGAATGACCGTACTTCACCACACTGGTCAATGCGGGTTGGTGACGGCATGGGCAGCATCGACATGGGAAGTTAGGATGGTACAATTACTACCTCTGGTATCGTTCGTGCCCCTATCGTCCTTTGACGTTGTGCGTAGAGTGGGTGTGTGCGTAGCATTGTGGTTAATGCTGCACTGCGTTACAAACCTGGAAATAAGAACATGATTCCTGCAGCGGCCCGGGCTTTCCCTAAGTCGACTCGGCCTCAAATGAGTACCTGGCGCGGTGTGTAAACATCGCCACTCGGGAGACAAAGGCGGCCGGGCGTGGTGCTAACCACCCACCCCCTCGCGTCCCGTGCCGGCTTTCCTAGGTACCACTCGCCCCAACACTCTGTTGAGGCTACACGGGGGACCTGTACGTGCGTGTAATTGTACCGGTGATTAATTGTGCGGTGTCGTCTAATCCGTGAGCAGCTTTCGGAGTATCCAGTAAGCAGTCGATGAGCTTATCTCGTTTCCACAATCCATCTCGCCTGCCCTATACACACACCGGCACTCATTTCACGGCCTCAGCTGCCACGGCTGATCGTAAATCGCTACAGCGGTACATTTTTTTTTCTTATGCTCGAATGATTTTGCACTCGAACAAAATTGCCACCCTTTTTAAAGCCACTCTGCTCTAATGAGAGCGCACGCTTTTACGCAGCAAGGTGTGGCCAAGTCATCAATTGCGTCCATATATTTTGCGCCCGTACAATTCCCGTTTTAATAGGTAGCATGGAATTATGTTTACAACCAAATGTCTTCGTCAGTGCGTCTCGGAAGCCTCACAGGGGGCCGAGTTTGGGGTTTGCGCTTCGATGGGAGAGTGCCGTGCGTTTATGGGCGTGCGCTCAGAGATGGCCAGGAGTTCGTGGCCACACAGCGATGGGATCTCAAACCTATTTGCGTTTATCTTTTGTTTACATCGTGGTTTGCCGAACACAGCCCCAGCGTGTTACGCAGCCGCCGGCGGCGCTAATAGGCGTACAATAGATAAGAGTTGATACCCCTGTTGGGTTTAAGCAGGAGTTGTAATAACTTGGGAAAAGAGACGTCGGTAGGGAAGCCGCTTTGAGTGTTACCCTCCTCATATGTGTGGGTTTTCTCCGGGTGACCCATCAATGCCATCGGACATCTAGTGTATGATCATCACGGCATGTGTCTTTTTGTCATTCCCAGGACCTTCGATAATTCAAATATCTTCTACGACAGCTGTCTTGCCGATACCCAATGTCCCGGTAAATCGGTTTAGCAGCTGATAAGATAAGATCAGTGTCATGAAAATAAAGCCACTTTGTATTCCTTCACAAGAAAGCGACACAGTGTGAGGTCGGTGTTCCAGTGGCGTAAGGGTCTTGTAACCGCATCAGACCACTGAGCCAGCGAGTTCCAAGAGCGCGATTTGGAATGAGGGTTCCTCCCGTTTCGCCCTTGGGATGAGTCCGGGTCCTCAAACGTAGCGAGTTGGTGGTTTCTCAGCCCCGCTCGCCAATCAGTGTGCGCAAGAGTTTACGCGAGATGTGGGTTAAGATGGGCTAGTCCTGTTGGAACGTAATTTGAACGAAAAAAATTTAAAATAATAAGTAATATCACAAAAGGTGAAGGTGCAGCCCTGCAATTGCTTGCTCACGCCACTGCTCGTAGAAGGGCCTCCACTAGAGGGAGCTCTAGAGGGAGCTCTAGAGAGCCCCCTCTATAGAGGGTATTTGGCCTACTGTTCCACACGTTTTGGACAGCTTGTTAACAGTAAAAGTAACAACGAAGATGTGGGGGTGGGGGTAATCTGTGGTGCATTCTTATAACGCCTGGGCAGGTTATTATTCGAGGTGTTGGTCACTCAGAATTCATCATCAGCCACAGTCAACCCACTGCTGAATGATTGCCTCGCTAAGCTGCTGCCAGCGCATCTCATGATCCCGCGATATTGATAATCCGCCTCTCACCTGCACGCAAACCCACTCGCGATTAAACCCCAACGTATGATTTACGTTGGTCGCCTGATTCCTGAGATGGGATTTCTCTCCGGGTCCTCCGGTTTTCCCCTCCACATTTAGAACCAACATCGCGCGTTTAGAGTATTTGACTACTGCTATGAATGTCCACACGATGGTGATAAGCCACTTCGTTGAGCTGTCATTTGTGATGGGCAGGTGCGCTTCTGAAAAAGAGCCATACAATTCCGCGGGCCTTGCCTGGTAAAAAAAAAATTAGAATTTTAGTTTTTAAGACTAAAACGTAACTATGCCGGGAAACGGCGAGGCTCGGCAGCGGAGGAGGAGTTACGGCGGAGGATGAGGCACGACGCGGCGCCATCGACGGGGGGGCCCACTGGGGGCCCACTGGGGTGGGGGCTGCAAGCCGGCGCTCCTATAAATAGCGGCAGGCGCCGCGCCAGAATTTGCGGCCGTGTCAGAGGTACGAAAATGGGAAACCCCCCGCGCACCTCCCCCCCCCCCCGCATCAGCTGCTGACGGTAGCAAAGGGCAAATGAGTTTTATATTGAAGGCGAAAAACAAGCGAATGCATTTTTTTTTTAGCGCTCGCCCACTCAGAAGCGACGGCGAAAGTTTTCTTCGCACATCGTGGCGGGGGCGGGGGGCGGCGGTGGGGGGGAGTGGGGGGTGCAGGGTGGGTGGTGTTGATACGATGCAGCGAGGACAGTCAGCAGACACAGGGTCCCCCCCCCCCCCCACTTTTTCCAATTAATTCCATTCTCCGCGCTTATTTGCAGCTCCGCTCGTGTCCGCGAATCCGAGGTGTCGATGCGGCCTTTATTTAGAGGCACGTGGGAGCCCATCGAGAGCTGCCCGCGGCTGCCAGAGCCTCACAGACGCCACGGCGCCAAGGGGAGCGTGCACAGTGACAACGCTTCAACTTTGGGAGCAGATTCTTGAAAAAAAATTCTATGCTTAGCCATCGATGTAAATGCTTTGAAAATATATTAATGCAAGCAAATACTGGTGGTGTAGCAGTGACCCCCAAGAAGTATGTTAAATTTAAAAGGTTACATTTGCAGGCCGTTGCAATTAAATAATTGCCTATTATCCTTTAATGCAATGAGCGGTTTACTTGTTTAATGCTTCAGGTTATTGCCTGTTTCCTGAATAGGGGCTTTCCCTGCACATTTTGTTTTTTATCACTGATTTTGGTTATAGCTGTGTTCTCATTTGTTATGGCCTCGAAAGAGATTGCGTTCAATCGCTGGATGCCTCGCTTACAAAAGCAATCCATCTCAAAAGGCCCACACTCCTGGCTATAAACAAACAAAAGCCTTGGAATATCCAGTTTCGAAGAAGAAGCAACTCATGAAAATCTGTTGACTATTCATGCGTGTAAAAAAAACAATGAAACGCTGAGGTTTTTTTTTCGGCATAAAAATTGGCTTGGAAATTAGCTTTTTTCAAGGTTTAACAAAAACATTTTATCCCACTAAGTCGCAGGGCCCAGGATTATGAGAGTGGCAGCGTTTGATTTTAAAAGCCACCGCTGCTGCCAATTAGCCAACCATCGAGCTGTCGGCGGCGGAGGGGCATCATTCCGCTGGCGCTGCGTTGGGCACGTTCAGGAGCTGGCACCGCGCCCACCACTCCCTCCGTGGGCGCCGCCGCAACCGCCGATAAATTAAAGAGGTGATTCTAGATTTGAAGCTTTCGTGACTGCAGGAATCCATACTCTTTGGTTCTTTCGGTAAAGTCACGTAGGTATAAAATTAGTAGATCACGACGTTTCGATCGCAACACAAGCGACCGCCAGATCTAATGTGCTACAAAAATTATTCATCATTTCCTCAGCGATCTTGAAAATGAAACAGTGACATGTGTGACCAATGTACTTGGGTGGCAGATGATATTCTTGAGTAACCGACGTTTTATTGGACAATATCGTACATGACGGATCTCACTCAAACAAAGAATTACATCATCGTGCAAAATCTTGTCAGATTTCGGTGTAAAAAAAACCTTAAAAACGCAACATCGTTGCCCATCGCCATCGCAGGCGGTGACTAAACGCCGTCTCAGTCATCCCACATCCCACGTTCGCGCGGCAGCCTCCGCCGTTTACCGCAATCGCGCCGTTTCAACTATGGACTCCGCTAAACCCTCGTCGGAGGAAAGCGTTAATTAAGACCCGGCGGGCGAGCCGCTGATTAAGAGAGCTCTTCAGGAGCAATCGCTAAAGATTGCATGCGGCCCGGATCATGAATCCTCCTTCTGAATCGATGGATTGGACCGTGGGGGTGGGGGGGGGGCGGGTGGGGGTAGAGCAATGACCGCTCAAACTCATCACGGCGGCTACCGCCGTGCCGATCGATGACGCTCGTGTCAGCCCCCCGTGAAGATCCAGCTCTTCCTCGCCAGCTCCCGCTGGCCTATTTCGGGGTTGTATTTAACCGAGGGTTTAAATTTAGAGCTCGCGTCGATATTGAAGCAAGCGTACGCACGTGCCTGTCCGTGTTACACATTTACCTGTGTGCTTCCGTGCGTGTGCACGTGCCTGTGTGTGTACGTACGTGGCTGCGTGTGGATTCGATTCCCAGCCACGGCTAACATCGTCGGCTAATCTGTTGAACCAATCCTGGGCCTTCCTTAGAAATTGGTCCAACGTGTAAACGTCAGCACTGGGAAGACAAAAGGCAAAATGTTTTCAACGTTGGCAGCGCTGTTTATAATTTTAGCGCATGCTCGGTCACAGCTGTCACTGCAGGGTCCCGTGCCAAGAGTGAGTGACGTTTTGTGTGTTTGTGCTTCGTTGTCTCGCGTGGGGGAGCGGTGGCGCAGTGGTTAGCGCACTGCACTACAAACCCGGCTACCCGGGTTAGATTCCCGCTCACGGCCATCAACACCAGTGACGATTACCTGATCCAGTCCAGGGCCTCCCGTAGTTAGAATAGACATTTACAATTACAATATAGTACTCGAAATTGTAAATGTTGTGGGTTTACTCTCCAACACAGCGGTATGCCAAAGTAGTAGCTAATTGGTACGTCTTGCTTACGGGACAAACCCTTCCTAATTGGCCGTGCCGGATGGTGGCGGCGTGTTTAATGACACGTCTATATATATATACGCGATCTCACATTTGTGGATAATATCGGTCGCCAAAAGCCGACGTGCTGAACAGAAAAGATGCATCGACTGCCTGCCGCCCCCCCCTCCCCCCCGTGTCCCGTGTGCCGTCGTCGAGCAGGCAGCATACTGACGGTTACGGGCCGCCTGACGTTCACGAGCGCCAAGTCGATGGAGATCGAGGTGGGCGTGGAGGCCAACGCGCTGCTGGGGGACGGCAGCGAGGAGGAGGCGGAGGCGGAGCGCGTGTGCGCCGTCAGCGCCTACTTCACCTACGTGTCGCTCGCCAAGGACGGCAAGCCCCTCGGTGTGCCGCAGCTCAAGGTGAGGGGTTGGACGGGGGCGGCTCCCTGCCGGCGAGGCCTTGCCCATCGGTGTTTATGAATCCCCGGTGAGCGTTTTATTTTTTTATTCATCCGCCTTTTTTTGCACGCAAGCCCCGGTACAACGCGTCGATGGTGCCTGGGGAGTGGGGGGGGGGGGGAGTTTGGGGGGATTTTCTGCGACTGGCCGTTGTCTAAATGGTGGGAAGAGGAATGCTCGGTGCTCACCCTGAGCGGGGTCTTCCATCGATGGGAGAGGAAGGGGGGGGGCTAACAGCTTATATATAGGTGGGGGGGGAGGGGGGGCTAACAGCTTATATATATATATGTGTGGGGTGGGGGGGCTAACAGCTTATATATATGTGTGTGGGGTGGGGGGGAGGATGCCCCGGCGAGCGTTTTTACGAGATCGATAATGGAGGGTTTCGAAAAAAGTCATGGAGTCTGATGACAGTGGTCCGGGTTGACTTCGTTAGCGAACACTCGAACCGAGCGGCGCTTGCAAGAATGGAATCGTCAGTTGATCTTGATTCTGACTGGCGGCGGCGGTGGTGGCGGTGACTATGCACGTGGCCTGTCATCGTGGCGTCGAGGGGGTGCCATACCCTGGCTTGCCATACCCTGGCTTGCCAGGAGAAGACAGTATGACCAAAATGTGTGGGCTCCACCTGTTGCGTCTGTATGTGATTGAGTGTTTCCCCCTCTCACGCGTGGGTTTTCTCCACGTGCTTAATATGTAGAGGACCGTAGAGCGTGGGTGATTATATTATTGGCGCCGGCTCACCGCGTGGCTGCCACCTTTCCCGCTCGTCTGTGGTTCATCCCGGCGCCTCTGAGTCGTACTCTCTCTCTCCGAGAGTGGGGAGTGTAGACTGCAGCGACGGCGGCGCAGGGTTACAAGATGACATTTTAATTATCTTAAGCGTTGTGTTTTTTTATTCACCCGTGTTATATACGATGGGTTCACATAACCCCCTGCAAGCCCCACTCCATTTGTCATCGGCCGCGGTCAATCCATTGCTGGATGAAGGCCTCTTCAAAAAACCGCCATCGCCACCTCTCACGAGCCCGCGATGCAACAGCGCCAACACATGAACTGAATTTATCGCTCCATCTCATCGGCAGGCGTCCTCTCAGATGTCTTCCGTTCCTTGGCTGTCCGCTCCGTGTTTGTTGTTGACCGTCGTCCACCCCGTCCCCTTTAGTGGCGACACATCCTGCCCGAGCCCGCTTGTCCTTCTTAACAGGCTGGATGTAGTCATGGCCGTGAGTGCATTTAACAAACCAAAAAAAAAATTCATTTTTAGGACTCCTGATTTCCCAAGCAAACTCATGCCACCAGCATGATAAACATGTGGTTTTTATAATGTATTTATATACAGCAAGTGTTTGTTATGCTTTCAGTCATGCATTGAGCACACACCAACACAGCAGCATTCACAGCTGATGTGAGACAGGGATACGCTTTAAAATAGAACACAGGAGCTATATTTATGAAGAACAGCTGTTTAAGGCCATGCGCCAGTGTTATTTTTATTCTCACGTATCTATCTAACAAAGCGACAGTGGCTTGGTCCGTAACGTATTCTTAGGAAGGCTTTACAATTTGGAATTGTCTTAGCACCGGTGGCTCGGTACAGCCAACCTCATTTTGATATTCATCCAGGCCAGCGCAATTGAGTCTCAAGAAGTTCTTATCAGAAGGGATCCACACTGGAATATTTGGCCTCGTCCTTAATGAGTATGAATACACAACTTACTTGCTGTTAATCTTGACTTAAAGCCTTTCCTGATGACGACCACTTGTGTTGCGATCGAAACGTCGTAGTTTTTTGTTATTTTCTTTGAACTTATCTACGTGACTTTACCGAAAAGACCCAAATAATTTAATTTAAATCCTTGATGTACTATCTCGCATTATGATCTCATTGTGATCCACCGATTTCCCTAAGTGTTGGAGCACAAGTACCGTCGCAGTGGGTAGCATGCATCATTCTCATCATCTTTTAATAATATGCATGTGACTTGCTCTAGCACGAGGTGCAGTGTCATCGCACCAGCGCAGCCGTGTACCCAGGAAGGCAACCGTGTGCACAATCGTCGTGATGCTCGTGTGTTGGTGTGGGAGCCACAAGTGGTATGACAGACAAACATTCATTTGAATACATCAGCAATGGAAAATATCGTAATTTCTGACGTGCGTCAACAGGCGCCACGAGCGAGCAATCACAGCCAACCAATTGCTCCGCTAAACGTTTTGCCCGCTGTGCAGGTCAGGTCACGCCCCCTCTCAAAAAATCGTAATAGATTTTACGCGGAATAAAATCAACTATTGCTCAACCTAGAGTCAGCAGAAGCAGAACGGCGGTCGAACAATCGCTCGACAAATAACGACGACGGCGTTCATTCGCCGGTGCATCCGGCATACGAACGCCGTCGCCGCCGTCCTGCTGCGTTAGCGCCGTTTGGTGTGAATAGCAGCGTTAGCGCCGTTGGTGTGAATAGCTGCGTTCTCTAAACGAAAATGTCAAGGTGAAGGGCGGTCGCAGGGCGAGGTCTGCTCCTGGCCACTCGATCGCTGCAGGAAAAGGGATCTCCTACCGTTGGGCCCCCCCCACATCCCCCACACTCCCACCCCCAGCCTCTCGAGGGGGGAGCTATAAAAGCCGGCAATCACCCACAATTTATCCCACCGCAACCAATTTGGCCGATTGCTGTGGTGCGCGATAATGATCGTAATTCCCTTTTTTTTGTTTCTGCCGCCGCAGCGGCAGGGGCAGCGGCGTTACAAATGAAGAGGCAGCGATGATCACATCGAGCGCGATTGCAATTGAAGGGTGCAGAACCCGGCGAGTTTGGGTTATTTTTACTCTGGCTACACGTCCCCCGTGGGAGATGAGATGTGAGAAGCGAGTCTATCGCTCTCTCGAGCCCCGGGGCTTTTGTGTCTCTTTCCATTGATCGAGAGAGCAGCCTCGGAAATGTTGGAAGCCGAATATGGATATAGGATTTTCCATCGAGTCAAAAAATTCCCCGTTTGGGTTTATTTCTTCTCCCTCCCACACATTGACCGTTTTTTTTTTGTTGCCGTTGTGAAACGGGTCCAAATCGCGGCCGATGTGTGCACCCGGTAGCCAATCTGTTTGAAATCAAATCATTTGGTGGCGATGCAGCTGCATCACCCTGCAGCTTTTGCAGTGGTGCCCAAGCACAATCAACCTCAGCAAAACTCAAGCTCACCGCTGAATTCGTTGATTTCCCCCTCCCCACCACCATTCTGGTGCGAGGTTAACGTGTGGATGTTTATAAAAAGGTGGTGTCGCTAAGGCACGTGCAACGCACCTTCCCAAAGACGAAGATCCCCCGTAAAGCCTCAATGGACTGTTGGGACAAGTGCTGTTAGCGAGTAGCGCCTATGATTGCCGACACGGCAGACGAGGGAGAGGGTGCCCAACACCACACCCGTTGTCTCCCAAGAGGCGATGTTTACACGTCTCATCAGCTACATTGAGTCGACCGACAGGAGGCCCCAAGACTGGTTCACATCATCTTCACTGGTGTTGGTCATGAGCGGGAAACAAAGTCGGGTCACCGGGTTTGTAGCGCAGCACGCTAACCGCACCTTCCCACGCGCACGCCAGGGGTTCTCCGAACACCATCCCCCTCTTGAAACCAAAATTAATTTACATCCATTTGTCGATCCGCTGCTGGATGAGGTGGCCGCTGAAAGGTTTTGTTTTCAGAGAAGCGCTGTGAAAGAGTCGTCCCCCGACACTGCTCTGTGAGATTTCCAACTGATATCCGCGTTATAGTGAATAGGCAAAATGAGAGGAAATGTCAGCTCAATTAGAAAGTAAAAATGTTGTTACGTGCAAAATTTGTGATGATGAAATCACGGTCACTGTCGAGGAGCAGCAAGTAGTGGGGCCCGTAGCCGGACAACGCCATCGCTAGGAGAGACGGTGGCCGACGGAGAGGCCTGGCTACGGGGGAACGGCAGCCGAAGGAGGGAAACGCGCTGGGGAGACGGAGCGGCAACGCGCTCTGCTCGCCGTGCAGTAGCGAGACAGGGCCGCGTGGCGTCCGTACCAACGACGGGAGGCGACGGAGAATTGGGGGAGGCCAGCCGTGGATAGATCATGGCTGGCGGTGATGATGATGGTGGTGGTGGTGGAGGTGATGAGCCGTGAGAATGATTTTCGAAGGGTGGAGGAGAATGGGCGATAATGTTCTGGGCACTGCCATGAGAGCCGTGCCAAGGGCAGCACGAGGTCGGGCACTTGGATAAAAAAAATTCGCGAGTCACGAAAGGTCAGTATTGATCTCACAACAAACAGGGATTTTTACAGCATCGTTTATTATAATGCGAGATTAAAGTGATGCATTCCACGGCATGCTGTGACTTAGAACTCCCCTTCAAAGGAGGTAGTTTTACAAGGGTGGAAACGGTGGCGCAGTGGCGACACACATTCCTCGCAACAAGAAGGGCCTGGGTTCGATTCCTGACTCGGATGATGTTTTGTTACTCGTGATCGGCGAGCTGACTCTGTAATCTTTGTTAAATCCCTCTCACGCTCAAATATCGTGGGAAGACGATGACGTTAAAAGCAGGGGCGGTTTCTTCATTAGGGCGATTGGGCGACGCACCACCAATGTCATTCAACCACAGTCACGCTAGCCGTCACTGTGCCTCTGGATATAGTCCAATCAGCGTCATGTCACGTTCTGTGGAGTACCGCCTCTTTTTGGGCGATTTCACTCCGGCTGAGAATCGCCCCGAGTGGCCCCATAGACTTACATTCAAAGATGTTTTTTTTCGACCGGGGGGCGCTGCAATGCATTCTCTATGGCTTCCGGGAGGGCTCGCCCTAACGTGCTTACGTCATCATACGTAAGCACGTTTCATCCAACAATATAATTTGTCGCCACCTAGTGGAATCTTTAATAAAAGAAACTTGAGTGGATTGTATTAATAGTGAGTATAGAAACAAACAAGATGTA